AAAGAACTGGAGAAAATCACAAAATATAAAGACCTGCAAATAGAAATAGAACAACTATGGCGAAAGAAAGCAAAAATAGTACCAATAGTAATAGGCGCCTTGGATGCAATCCCAAAATATCTAGAGCACCACTTAAATACCATTAGCATTGACAAAATCACCATCAGTCAATTACAAAAGGCAGCTTTACTTGGAACAGCTTATATATTAGCATTGACAAAATCACCATCAGTCAATTACAAAAGGCAGCTTTACTTGGAACAGCTTATATATTAGCATTGACAAAATCACCATCAGTCAATTACAAAAGGCAGCTTTACTTGGAACAGCTTATATCCTGCAACAATATCTTTAACATCATCAAACAACATCTGCCTGTCCCAGGTCCTTGGGAAGACTCGATAGGTGGATAAAAATGCAGATCCAGTCTAAACATCTGGCTGACTGTGCAACCAACAATAATATAAAAATAGATGAGAAAAAAGGAAACAGACCAGAAAGAGCTGTAATTAACCAATTTTGACAAAGTTTTTTTTTTTTAAATAAGAAGAAGCTATGTCACTTTTAAAAAAAAGTTGTGCTAATGGGCATATGTAGTAAATAAAATGAAGCCTTGATTTAGAGTACCTCAATGCAATGGACTTTGGATATCTAGCATGTTTACATTATTTTATATAAGCTGGTCTATGACCATAACAAAGATTTTATTTTATTTTATGTACTTTGTGTAAAGATGTAATTATATCATGTGTAATAGCATCATGCAAATGAAGCAGAGTATGTCATCTTGCATCAATTTCCATAATTTGCTTAATGACGTCCTTATGTAATGACATAAAATGACACAAGGTGTTATGCTCTATTTATGTAATGTCACCATGAATGTATACTGTGTTATTTAATGGACAGTCGGTCAATTCCACCCCCTGCCTGCTGCAGGACTCACTACGGTATCCCTGATAAATGACTGTCCAGTCTCTATTTGAAAACCTCCAGTGAAGGAGAAGAAACCACTTGATGCGATAACCTATTCCACTGATTGACAACTCTTACTGTCAAAAAGTTCTCCTGATGTCTAATCTGAATCAACATCCTTGAAGTTTCATCCCATTAGTTCTAGTCTTACCCTCTGGAGGAAGTGAGAGTAAGTCCACTTCAGATACTGTATTTGAAGACAGCTATCATGTCTCCTCTCACCCTCTTCTGCAAGCTAAACATACCTAGGTCTTTAACTGCTCCTTGTAGGACTGCTTCAATAGGACTGAAACTGCTTCATTTCCAGTCTTTCACCACCCTTCTCTAGGCTTGCTGCAGTTTATCAATGTCCTTTTTAAACTGGGGTGTGGAGAACCAAACAAATTATTCCAAGTGAGGCCAGACCAAGGCAGAGTAGAGCAGGAAAATTACTTCCTGCAATCTGGACTCTTTGCTCTGCTTGATGCTCTTCAAGATGTTGGCCTTCTTTGCAACTGTATTACGCTGTTGGGACATGTTGACCTTGTGAACCTCTAATATGCCCAAGTCCTTTTCATGTGTACTCCTCTTGAGCCAGATTTTCTCCATTATGTACATGTCTCTTTCCTATTTCTTACCTAGAGGCATGACTTTACATTTCTCCTTGTTAAATTTCATTGTATTTGTTTCTGCCCACTGTTCTAGCCTATCTTTTTTGAATTTTTTTCTCCCTCCACCCAAGTATTAGCTACTCCTCCTAGCTTTGCATCATTTGCAAATTTGGTAAGCATTCCCTCAACTCTCTCATCCATATCATTTATAAAAACATTGAACAGTGCTGGGCCCAGGACAGAGTCCTGTGGAACCCCATTCAAGATATTCTCCAGGTAGATATGCCATTTATAACTTAGCATTTGAGTACTGTCATTGAGTCAGTTGTGGATCCACCTAATGGCTGAATTGTCAAACCCATATTGGACCATTTTGTTGACAAAGATGCTATGAGAGACTTTGTTTAAAGCCTTGTTAAAGTCAAGATATATCCAGAGCATTTCCTTGATCAACCAGTCTAGTAACTCTATCATAAAAGGAGATCAAGTTAGTCTCGTGTGACTTGTTTGGCATAAATCCATGTTGGTTCCTGTTAATTAATGACTTCCTATCTAAGAGCTAACAGATATGCTGTTTGATAATCTGCTAAGGACCTTGCCCAATGCCTATGTCAAGCTCACAAGTCCAGGTCCTACTTCTTCCCCTTTTTGAAAATAGGAACGTTAGCCCTTCTCCAGTCTTCTGGAATCTTGCCTTTCTCCAGGACTTTGCAAAGATTACAGAGAATGGTTCTGCATTTACCCCTGCTTGTTCCTTCAATACTTTAGTGTGTAATTCATCTGGCCCTGGAGACTTTAACTCATTTAGATTAGCTAGGAATTCCTTCATTTGCTCTTTGCTTATCTTGAGCTTCAGTTCACTTCCCACCCCAGTGGCAGAGTAAGAACCAGCCAAGGGTTTGTTTACCTTCTGAGAGAAAGCAGATGCAAAATAGGAGATGAGAAGTTCTGCCTTTCTCTCTCTGCAGAAGACATACTATCTCCTTGGCTTTCCTTTTGCTTCTGACATACCTGAAAAAAATGAACATCTTTTCCTCCCAATTGATCTGTTAAATTGAGGTGTCACTATATCATATAAAGAAAAGAAGTACTGTAAATATCATACCAACAATAAAATGGGGTTGGCTTAATTTCATGTCTAATTTAAGAATAGAGCTCTTATGATCTCCATAACATCCAGCTCCAGAGATTTTCTATCTTTAACTCTTCCTGAGAGTGCCCTTCCCTAGTCAGAGCTGGTGTGGATCCTCCTGGACTCATATCTCCAACTCCTGGCTTGGGGGGCCTTTGCACAGGTTTGTCTTGTGCACCAATTAGGCCCATTCCTGGATCAGGAGGGTTGCTTACGGTGACTCATGCTGTGGTCACCTCCTGCTTGGATAACTGTAACACGCTATACATGGGACTGCCCTTGAAGAACATTTGAAAGCTGCAACTGGTCCAGAATGCAGAAGAGAAGGCAGTTTTTGGCATCTCTTGATGCATTCATATAACACTGCTGTTCTGCAAGCTGCACTAGCTTCCAATAGAATTCTGGGTCTAATTCAGGGTGTTAGTTACCACCAATAAAACCCTACATGGTGTAGGACCAGCCTATTTGCAAAACCACCTATTCCCGATTGTTCCTGCCTGTCCCACCAGTCTAGCAGGAAGGGCATGCTCTGGGTTCCTTCCATCAAACAATGCCATCTTGTTGGACCTTGGAGTCATGCCTTTTCTGTGGCTGTGCCTGCCCTGTGGAACAGCACCTCACCGCCCCCCCACCCCCCGAGATCCAGATGGCCCTGAAACTTTTGTAAGGCTCTGAAGATCTGGCTATTCCACATGTAATGCATTTGGCTCAGGAGATTAAGTGAGCTCTGCTGCTGATATTGCTTTTTGTTTTGGGGTTTGTTGTTTTAACCAGGACAACATGGGTTACATGATGTTGCGGTGGTTTTAATCTTTGCACCTCACCCAGAATCACTGCTGTGAGATGGGTGACTCTATAAATCAAATCAAATCAAATCATAAAGATACAAAGTTATCCTTGTTGGATAGAGCTTAATAATAAAGCTCTCTATATATTATGAATAGAATAGAACAGAACAGAATAAAACTATGTTTCCCCAAAGTGCTTTAGGATATACTTCTACTCATTTCTCTCCCAGTTTTGGTTTTATTTTCAATAGTTAAAATAGTAATGTGAAGAAATGCAAGAAACGAAATTGCCAGGTAAGTAGTAAGGAGTAACAATATAGTGATTAGTTGAGCAGGGAACAGGAACTTTGGGTTCTAATCTTAGTGAAGAAATCCTGTATTTCCTCCACAACCATGATAATGTTTAGGTACAGGTAGTCCTTGTTTAGCGATCACAATTGGGACTGGCAACTCAGTCGTTAAGCAAAGTGGTCACTAAGTGAAACCATGACTCTGCTTCTGAACTTACTTCAGCTTCCCTTTGCTTTACAGACCTTCAAATGTCATAAATGCAAGGACTGGTCATAAAGTTACTTTTTCATCACTGTTGTAACTGAATGGTCACTAAATGAGGCTGTTGCTAAATGAGGACTACCTGTATTTGTTTTTTTTGTTTTTAAAAGAACCACATCAGATTGTACATAGAACCATAGAAGATAACTAACACACACACCCACCATCAAACAGTTTAAAAATATTTGCCTCTTTCTTCTTCCCAACAATTTTGAAAGTGCCCTACCACAACTCCTAATGTGCTTTGCATCCAATTTGTATGTCTAAAAGCTGCTACTTCATATAAAAAGAACTTAGTACAGGTATAGCTCCAAGATCAGTCGTATTTGTTTCCCTTTTTTTCTAACCAGTTTGCCTGATGAAATGTTGAAACTCGAAAGCTTCAATGATTCTCTAAAGCTTCAGCTATCCTAATGAAGATTTTGCCACTGCTGATTTTGGATGTTATCATTGCTAACATAGCTATTCTTGCTGTTTGTACACAATGAAACCACTTGAAATGGATAGATATTTTATATCTTTATTTTACTGTGAAATTCAGTTTTCTTTTAATTTCCTTTATTCAAGATGAAAAACAACAGAAAAGGGTTACTTCCAGAACCAAATGCTGTGCAAATCATGAAAAGCTTAAATACTCCAGCCATGTGGCAGATATTGTTACAGCATCAGATGCATGGATGTGCTAATAAACTTGGTAAGGTTTGATATACGTACTCTGAAATTATGTGGAATTTCCATTGTATGTTGATTTAATAAAACAGCAGCTTTGGGTGGGAAGGAGCCAGAGCAATTACACACATTTACTCTTTCCATTTTTTAAAAATGTATATATTTAGCATTGATTTTAAATCACTTTTGGAGTTTCAGAGTGCATTCCCACTAAGTGTGGAAAATTCAAACTCATCTCAGATGATATTGTAGGATTTACGGGGTACTTCAGGTGAAGTATAGGCAGAGCTGAACCCTGTTTTTTGCCCTAAAGAAGGAGTGAACATCCCTTATCTCATTGGCACCCTACTGAAGCTTCCTCCAAAGGTTGTGTGAGGTTCTAAGTTGTTCCTGTATTCGAATAAGAAACTACATGGAAATAATACACTTTTATAAAGTTTGAAATTTAAAAATGAAGCTATCAATTGGTCCTTAGAAATTAGCTATATAGGTGCAGAAGGCAAATTGTCACATATGTTGCTGAAGTTAAAAATATGAGCAAAGCTTGCAAAGTTCATGTTTTTTGTTTCAGTTTCATAAAGTCTTTTTGCCTCTTTGGGGAGGAAGGGAAGCAATAAAAAGTGCATATTGAAATCCATCTTTCTAGTTGTTAAGATGTGCACCCTTGCAGATTTGGGAATATATAAAAAGGTGATACTCATATTATCTCATTGGCAAAAGCTAATCCTAAGTGGTACAAAAGTTCTGTATAAAAGTTCATGTTCATTATTTTGGCATTGCTGTGTGCATCAATTTTGCATTGCCATAGAAGCAGTGAAGACTGACAGGAGGGTTTCCATAAGAGAAATTATAATGGCTGCCAGTCTGCCTTCACAGGCGAAAACAGTCTCAAGCAACTGCGCTGATGATCAGTTATTATACAGAAAATATAAGTCCTTTAAAATAATGTTTAGCTATTCATATGTTGTCTTAACATAGGCATTATAAGTAAATTTATGATAAATTTGGTAACATTTTTTCTCTGAAACAGTCCTAGGAGCTCCCATGAATGTGCCTCACCTTGTAAGTTCATCAGTCAGCCCAGCCTTTTTGCATTTGAATAAAGTTCATCAGGTATGTTTATAGATAATTTATAATGTATTAGTGAAGCAGATGAACAATAAGAGTTCAGATTTTAGTGCATTATAATAATAATAGCAGTAAGATATAATTAGATGCTCCAATATAAAATGCTAAATTAATATAGCATTTATCTTGACTTCTTAATTGAAATATCTGTTCTATGTATTCTAAAAGTTAGTTTCCAGAATTTGTTCTTCAGAGAGCAAGGAGGCAGAACATGATCTTGATTTCCTTATTAAACTAACAAATATAAGGAACATGTAAAAAGTTGTTTTCAGCTGAACTGGATCATTGGTTCATCTCTGGGTTCTGTTTGTGGTCTTTCTAGCTTGAAGGGAAATACTTTGTACACAATAGAAATCTTACTGCTAAAGTTATTATTTCAGCAGCTTACTTGGGCTTGACATGCCTTATACCACAAACAAACTTTTTTTCCCCTTTGCAGTAGAACAGTAAAAAGGAAGGTTTCTGGCGTTAAAGAGACCTAAAAACTGAAGTTAGCTATCATGTCATTGGCTATATTCTATCAGAGCGCAATTGTGATATCTTCAGAGGAATATTTTGTTTTTATACTTAAATACTGGAAAATTGTTGCTAACGTTTCCTTGGAACACAGTGACCCCCTGTAATTGGCCAAATAAGTGCTCTGCCCCAATGTTAGTTTGCTTTAAAATGTATTTCAGCTACGCATGGGAAATCTACAGCCCCTTCAGACGGTGTTGGAATCCAACTCCTATCAGCCCCAGCCAGCAGGCTCAAGTTTTCACACTCACTGTTTCACTGTTGTTTTGAAAAGAATAGACATAGAAGGAAAACAAATTTAAATGTTTGAGAATCAAAATGGTTGATTTAGATGGTAAATATTGGAAAGGGTCATCAGTTAATAATGGAGAAAATCGATTTTGTTAATCCTTATTAATAAAGATGTGGAATATTAAACCTTATTTTCAAGATTATATAGTGACATAGCACATAATGTACTTGTTTAGTAATGTAGAAGATATCTTTCCTTAAACTTGGAAAGAGCCATCTGTAGGCTGCATGTAGGCACCAGCCCAAAGTTTGTCTTGCTGAAATTTGGCAGCAAAGTTGTTTTATCCTGGCACCATGTTTTGGGGATTAAAAACTTCAAGAGAAAGAAAGGAAGGAGGGAGGGAGGGAGGGAGGGAGAGAGAGAGAGAATGGGATCCCAAGGTCTCTGGGAACTGAAATGTTCCCCATGCAATTCTTAAACTCTTAAAACCTTTAAATCCATTGAAAAGAATCAAAAACCTTTTGCCCTGCCCCTTCTGGTAATGTCGTCACAGCACCAGAAAGCCATAAGGGGCCTATTAATGGGTTGGAAGTTGCAGTTTCTGACCTATAAGGAGTTGCCCTATGTTAAACTTACATAATAGGGATTTCTGTGATGATTTTAAATAATGGCTTGAATCGTTTGTTTGTTAGTTGCATATATTTGGAAATACAGTGGTACCTCGGGTTACGAACGCCTCTGCTAACGAACTTTTCGGGTTGCAACCAGCTCCGGCTGCGAAAATTTACCTCGGATTACGAACTGGATCCGCGGCCATTTTCCGCCCGTTCCACGTGGTCTGCAGCCATTTTCCGCCCGTTCCACGT